CACTGGCATTGTCATGACGATGGCTGCACGAGCAGTGAGTACTGACACCTTCTCTGTCCATAATGAGTGTTTCTTTCTCAGATACGGTCACACAGATACAATTCATAATCCTTGAGTGATGTATCACTGTATGCAGCTTTTCAGTCGTCATAACGAGACGGAATAGAAAATGTTGTCTGGAAATCAGATTGATTTGTTTCAAGTGTCTAAGAGCTCTTTACATGTATCACTGCTACTTAGCAAACCCACAATTCCACAACAAAAGTTCTTTTTGGAGAGTAAAAGGGGATAATGATACCATTTAAACATCATGTTAAAATGTTAGGCCAGCACCACTAATCTCTGTAAACCTCTTCACTTTAGTCTTGTGCAATCAGAATATTTCTGTAGAGACAGTGGAATAGAAAGGCTGAAGTAACTGAAATGATGCCAGGGCAGCAGTGTAGGGACTTCTCTTTCTCTTCTTTATCTAAAGAAGGATGAGGAGAGCGCTGACCCACTTATCACTACAGTCCACTGCCACTCGGACATGTTCAGAGATAGATTTCTCGTAAGAGTTATTATATGGAAAAAGACAAAAATGAGCAGATTGATAGTGTTAATGCCTGCTGCCATGAGAGATTTAAAGAACTGGGTCGTTTGGTTGAGTTCAAGTCTAGTTCACCGTACAGCACAAAGATTCATTTACTTGAAAGCTACTCATGTGATGGTCTCCTTTCCTCTTTTTTTTTTTTTTTTTTAGATAAGGCACAACATCAGACCATACTTCCTGGTATGTGACTCATATAGAAAGATCTATGATGTCATCACGTGGGCATGGACTCAGGTTGCCATCAGCTACACAGTGGCACCATTCGTCCTATTGGCTGTGGGGCCATCACTTAAATTCTACAGGTATGTGTATCAGGCTGAATGTGAGTGTTGATATTTGTCAAATATGCGCTTGAATATTCAAACATTTCTTTTCTGTAAGGTAATCATTAAGTGCTGCATTGTAAAAGTATCGCTGTATTGATTATGTGAATGAATGTACTGGCGCCCAGAGTAGAAATGGACACTTTTTCATTAGCCTAGTTCCCTCCTGTCGGGGCTGTAACTGTTAACGAGGCAGCTTAATGAGCGCAGCATGGTGAGGATTGATGAGGTGGAAATAAAACGAGCGGCCTTAACGCCGCTCGGACGCTGCAATGAAATAAAGGCCGAACAATGGTCAGTGTCATTCAGATGAGGGCTGCTGGTACATCAGCACGTGGCTGCTTAACAGGGGCATAAAACCGACTCATTGAAGTAGCAGGGATATGGAGAAATACCATAGCTATAATTTGACTTCAAGTGTTCACAAACGTATTTTATTTTTTTATTTCTCTTAACACGATTTAAAAAAAAAAAAAAAAAAACTGTGCCTAATTCAAATTTTTTGGTCTCTGCAGGTCCTGGTACTACTGCTTACACCTTCTCTGTCTCCTGGTGGTTTTGGTCTTGCCTGTCAAATCGAGACGCCGGCAGGCCAACGAGCAGCAGGACGGCCTGCAGAAGGACAGTGTACAGGACAACCAGATAGAGCACCACAGCACAGACAACAACTGCAACCAGAAAGACAAAGCCACATGAGGACTCAGGACAGCGGCAGCAGCAGCAGAAACACTTGAGACCAACTAGAAACCACTGAGGGCTTGGAGTGTTGCTTGTCTGTTTAGCCGCCAAAAGAACCAAATATCGGACGCTCTGAAAATCCTAAAAGACAGAAAACACAACTCACTGCTCTGTGAAAAACTTCTCGTAGCAAGGACAACAGCAATCTCACTTCTGACATGATAAAGAGACCAGGATTTCAACTAATGAGTGGTAGTGGTTATTTACATTACATTAGTGGAAATGAAGACTTCCAAGCTGCCTTAAACCCTCTATGTACCCGCCTGGTGAAGTAAGAGTTGGATGGCACGCTGCAGGTACCCAAATGCAGTCCCACCATAGTTATGTCAGGTTACAGAAACGGATACAAGTGCAGTATGTGGAGGGTTTTTGTCATTGTCTGGATACAAGCCTCTGTTAGGTGGAAACAGAAAATGTGTTCATGTAATAAAACATAACCTTTATCATCAGCTGCCAATTTCAAACAGGCCTTAGGATTCTCCAAACATTGTTTGATTTCTATGTCTTTAAAAAAAAAAAAAAAATTCTTTGCGGAGTGGAACTCACATTGTACGTGTTTATTTGTAAGTTGATGTTTGTGACAACACGTTTTGAATTCTCAATGCTTTGTATTTTATTTTTACCGGGATGAATGGACTTTGCCTAAAATAGAGTCGAGACTGGAATTCAGATTGTGTCCGTCTCCAGCAGTGGAAAGTCTAAAAGAGGAGCTCAAGTGTTACTTAGAAGAGTTCTGTTTCTTTTTTATATTTTTCATATCTGCTGCTTTTTTTTCCCCTCACAAACATGACTCATCAGATAAGCATATGTTTCAAAGGGAGCTTATTTAACCTGTTGTGATTTTTACATTTCCTGCTTAAAGATTTCTGCAGTTTGGATCAGGGGTGTCTTTTTGTGTGTGTGTGTGTGTGTGTGTGTGTGTGTTTTTATATGTTGGTATACTTCACACAATTGTCTTGCCTCTGAAGGAAAAGTCTCCAAAAATACCTGTATTTAATAAATTAAAGTTTATAATAGAATTTATGAATTTGGGAGGCCGTGGATTTTTAACATGTACAATTATGTAATTTAGTTAATCGTCTTAAATTCCACAGATGTCACAGAAATCTAATCAGATAACCACATTTACCAAAAGTTTAGTTATTTCTTAAAAGGTTTTGTCGCCATTAAAATGTACAAATCAATTGAATGTAGAAGCTTCCAATTGAATTCACAGTGCATTAAAAGCACATCCCATTATCAGGCTGCAAATTACATGTGTGCAATTTGAGTGTGGTCGTGGGGAAATTTACAGTCATTTAATGTATGTGACATGATCGTATTATTTTTGTACAAAATTCAAAGACATAGACAGACTGTTGTGGCATATTGTCGTTTCTTCATATTGTGTGCACTTATGTTAGAATAGAGATGTTTCAGGTTGCATTTACTGTTGGGTTTAAGAGACTCTGGTTCCTCATGCGGTGTCGGTCCATGACTCACCTTAAGCCTTTCAAATCCTCCATTCTACTCTCTACGACATGCAACAGTTCAAACATTCACCCATGGGAAACGGTACTTTTCGTGAGACATTTTTTAAGAAAATGTGTAACATAGGTGCAGATGAGGCAACCTAAAAGGCACCACAGTGTAGTTTAAACAATAACAAAAAAAACACACATTTTTACACATTTCTTAAAGTATCCAATAGTCTGGGGATTTCTATCCCAACTTACCAGAAACACTTTGTGTTGATTTTTTTTTCAAAACTTGTCAGTAATGTAACATTGATCTAGTGCATTTGTGTCACATATAAAAACAAAGCAGCAGAGGTGAGCTTTGAAGTATGGACCTTTTTTCATTTCCTTTTTTCTAACACTTTCATATTCCTGCCATAACTGTGCGTGTGTACCAGTGTTCATGTGATCCGTACATGTCGATGTGGTCTTGGGTCTCATGTCAAGTATGTGTGTAGCCTGGGCCCTGTGAAAGGCGAGTGTGGACCACTTAAGGGAAAAGGGGGATGTCATTCTAAAAACAACAACAAAGCGATTCGTGCAATGCATGGCCACCCAAACCAGCAGATCAATGCAAACTGCTCCATATGTCCAAAGTGCCAAATCAAGGATGGCGCCTCTTGTTTTTGTGTGTATGTGAGCACGCGTGCCTGCCGCGGGTGTTTGTGTGTGTGCATGTGTCCATGTGTGTGTGCGCGCGCCTGTTTAACATAATGGTTATTTTTGTGTCAGAAGGAACTTTATTGAAAGATTTGTATAACAGTACATTAAAAATTCTGATTTATGTGGCTAAATAAAGAGAAATTATTTTTAAACACTAAAGCTGGTGATTGAAAATGTCTTATTCTTTGTCCAGGGAAATAAATTAATATTAGCAATTAAATCTTTCCCCCCCCCATTTATCATGATTATTGTTGTCATAAAAAAACACTTGTGTTTTTGCAGTAGGCCTATAATGAACTCATGGCAGACATTAAAAACATTGACTCTTACTAGCAAGAACAGCCCAAGTGAAAGAAATTTGTTCAATAATGTCTTAAATCCAAGTAACAAGGTAGGTCACCCGCAATGATGTTAATCACAGCTTTGCTTCCCTGCTGTGGCATGCCAAAATGTCTGCTGTGAAATAGACAAGTTAGTGGGCAGCCTATGATATAACTACAGTACCAGCTGCGGATTTTTACAATGCACATTTTTTCTAAACTCTTTTATGTTTTCAAGGAGCATAAACATGCATTTAAAAACATACAATCCTGTTGGTCCTTCAACCTCACCCTCCACCGACTAGAGACCAGGGATGGGCAAATCTGGTCACAGCGAGGGCCGCATTCGTTCAACTCTCACTGCCTGGGGGGCCAAATTGTAGAATACAAAAAAACGATTATGTATGTCTCAAATTGAACTCAACGTATACCAGTGATCAAATATTATCATGGACATATTTCTGGTTTTCATGATTTCATGTTTTCCAATTAATTGATGTGTAAAAATTGACCTGAAGGGCCACGTTTAGGGTCGATGGGGGCCGCATGTGGCCCCTGGACTAGACAATTGGGAATAATAAAGAAATAAAAACTTTAAAGCAAAATGTTAATAATAGTAATGAGTAGGCTTCAAACATTTAAAATAACTTGTGAATGAAGACAAACTGAGCAGAAACTTACTGCAAATGTGACAAGGGGTCCTTATGCTAGCTGGGCTATTCAAATATGATCCTGGGGAGGGGTCCTGAGTCCTGATTTGCTCTGACACATGTTAAACACATAACCGGCAGAAGCAGCTGTGGTAGGAGCAGGAGGAGGAGCAGGAGGAGGAGCCGGAGGAGGAGGAGGAGCCTCTGGCCTCGGAGCAGGTTAACGCTGCTCTGAATACATTGAAGTTGTAAGATATGAGTAAGTGTTTGACCATATTCACTGGACTATTATCAACACGCAGGCAGCCATAGCACACCCCCCCCCCCCCCTCAGCTTAGGTAAGATGGGCCCTTTGGCACTGCAATACTTTCACATGACTTTTAGATATTCTTAAAGTATCAGGACCTGTTGGAGCGCTAGTTAGCTTTTCTGAGCTAGCATTAGCTGTTGGTAGTTTTGCTGTTGTTTCTTAGCGATAGAGCAAAACAAAGGAAGTCAGTCTGCTTGCTACAAACGAGAAGGAAGAGACCAGCAACGTTTATTATTGCGGTTTTTTTTAGTTTTTTTTTATATCTTAAGTTGAGAAAGAGATAAGACATGTGATATGTGTGTGTGTACTTGTGTGTGTGTGTGTTTTTGCCATCCAGATGTTTACTTTTTTTGACAACTTTCGGACACCTAACACCTGTTGTTTTAGATATTTCGACTCATGAGTTCAAGTCGCAGCAGCAAGCCCCGAAAAACCTGCTTCACATACTCTTAATATGTTTACTAGTGTTTGTCAGAGCAGCAGCTGCTGTGACCAGGAGTCTGTGTTTCTTTAAATGTAAAAAAAACAACCTTCAAACCAGCTCACCACAGACTAATGGAAATGTACCACTTCCTGGTTCCATTTTTAAAGTTTCCCACACACATAAGTGTAAACTGTGTCTCTGAAACAGACAAGTATGTTTCACGTAACTGAAATCCTCAGCAGATTCACCCCCCACATGACAGACCATAAGCAGCTGACAGATCAAATTTAGAGATCCTATCACTGTTGCTTCACTCCTCAGTTCATGTCTCTCTCTCTCTCTCTGTGTTCAGACAACAACACAGCTGACAAGGAGCCTTTTTGGATTTCATGATGATATCAAATTTGTGTTTTTACATCAACACTAGTCACGCACTGACTTGAATGCAGATGTGGGCGTGCTGTATTGACCCAGACAAGATATTATTTGTGACTTTCATTTCCCTGAATGTGTGAATTTTTCTGCCTTACAGTAATGTAATGAATGCACACGCTTACTTATCCTATCCACTTTGCTACTGGTGTCCTATTACTTTCTATGTCTTCCTTTAGTAAATGTATGTTAAAGCACTGTAAACCATTTCAGAAATGATTGCTCAATCTGTTAGTACATGACGGGAAAAAAAAAAAAAAAAAAAAAATCAGTTAATTATTTCAGAAAAAGTCCCCAAAGCTTCTGGTTTCATTTGACCAAAGTTTGAATACCTTTACATTTAAGTTTGGACTAAACTGAACAAACACTGTTGAGGTTAAAGCAATTAAAACAATCACAATTAAGAGCCCTATTCCTAAATAAAAAATAATAAAATATTGACTTTTATGGTTTAATAGCCATTGGATAATTGAATATAGCTGTTTCTGCATTTGTTGAATATTTTTGCCTTTTATTAGTGAGAAATTGAAACCCACTATCATGCTTAATAAGCTGTGACAGTCCCATTAATGTCAACCAAATTGGTCTTTATAGCATTATTCATAAATATGGCCAAAATCTTTATTGTCTCTTCCTTTTTATCCGTAGTTGGTGCCGAGCCAGAGCATGTAATGAATGAAAATGTGATCGCGTGTGTGTCCATTGTGTGTGGAAGAGATGGGCGTAGGCCAGCCCCCTCATCTAATATTCAGTCTGGAGTAAAGGGGGGATGCTGAGCTTGAGCCCGACAGTGCTTCTTAATACTATGTGCGAGTGAGAGGGGGATAAAGATTAGTGTTGAATATCTAAATAAATAGAAGCTTCACCCTGCACCAAGGTAAGGGGTTCTTCTGTTTACTCTGTATAGTATTTTTTTTTCTGGACCATGTGCCGGTCTTTTTAGTAGCTTTAATCTTGTAATGTATTTTACTGTTTCCATTGGTGATCCATCTCTTCTGTTTTTTTATTTTTATTGGGTGTTTTGTTAAAAGGATGTGTGGTGGGCTCCCATCTGATCATTGCCAGAGAGAGTTAAATGTGTACTGATTGGCTCTTGTGCTGTGTTATCGTCCACCCATTGTGCTGAGAGACAGGGAGCTGTGGAGGGCGTGTCAACAGGCTCTTTTCCCTGCCTCTGTAAACAAAGGATTTTTTCTCATTAATGTGGGACGCTGCCTGATAAGGGAGAACTGCTGGCAGGTGATTTGTACCTGGAAAAAGCAAGGTCAGACTTTTCAGAAAATAAAAGAAAATGCAACTTTTCATTGATCTCACTCTGAATTCGACTGCTTTGGGCCTTTTCTGTTGACAGGCCAACATCCATGTGACATTTAATCTTTTAGTGACGTGAGCATGAGCTGCTTGTCTCACAGATTATGTCGAAATATTGAGCTGTGTGTTTGCTAACCTTTATGTGAAACCCATTGCCAGGGCAACTTAGAAGCAATGAATGCAGCTGATTAATTTAGAGCTGCTCTGGCAGGAAGCGAGTCTGACCATGATGGAAGAGCACAACTTTGATGAATCTTTAATGAGTTTTTTATCGATTGGCTGAGTGTCTACTACAGCTCAAACAACCATATTTGAGGGGAGGGGGGTGGGGGGTTTCTTTTGTCATGGTTTTTTTGGAAGGCTCAGACATTTGACATTATGTTTTTTTGACGTGATCCTGTCATTGCTGTATAATTACAGGATTGACATCTGTGAATACTACTTGTAAAATAACTCGATGCAAGAGGAATGATCTGCTCTGTCTAAAATAACTCTTCCGAATGGCGGAGCCTCATTATAGATAATTTCCTCCAAGCGGGCATCTCAATTGATTTGTCTGATGCAATTGCCTTTTCCGCATCCTACTGCTAGTTACCCATCAATGCAAAGCAATCCAATTAAATAGTCCACCACCATGCACCTGTTTTACTTTTCAGGCACTTTAGTGAACAGCTCTTTCCTTGTTTAGAATACACAAGTTTCACCAAGTCCAATTTCAGTCAGTGGAGGAGGGTAGAAGTAAGGTTGGTCTTTATGTAATTGGAGCAGACATGGCAGCGCACCAATTGTCCAAGTGGTCATTACATCAAATGAGCAAAGTTGAACCACTATTGTTTGTCTTCAGTGGTATTTGATGACTTATTGAACTTTGTTAGCGCAGCATTGGGATTCGTCTGCCGTCATTAAACCGAGCAGACAAATTTCCCCTCATGTTTTTAAGCATGAGTACACAGGATGAAGTAAAGTGAGCTGACCCGGGCGCTCTCTCGGTGGCTTTTGTTGTGTATTGAGCATGTGCAGTGAATTGTCCTACTTAACCAAACTTGGAAATTCTACATCACTGTAGAGTTTCCTTATTCCAGTTCTTCTTTTGTCTTTATAGAATAAGTCTTGTGGACATTTGGAAACATATGACGTCCTCTTTTCTGATTATATATCCTGGTATTTATAGCTGGCCATAAGATGCACCCTCTGTTTTATTATTTGCATGGGTGAGTTTTTGCGTGTGAGTTGGGTTTGGACAGCACTCCTCTATTCCACAGCATCACTTCAAAGAGATACCACACCCTCCTTCCGGCTTCAACTTAGAGACTCTGCCTCTCTTTTAGTAATGTTTTACATTTAGCTTCATGGACCAGACAGATTTCTGTGAATGCTCATCTGTTTCTGTTCATCTTACAGTGGTGTACAGGGGGATAGCAGTCAGCCATGGACACCACCACCTCCCTGAAGATGACCTCCCTGGCCGTCCAGAGTCTGTTCAGCTATGTGGAGGAGGAGAACCTGGCGGCCATCAAAGCACATTTGGACAAGTTCAAAGATGTGGATAGCAGGAGTGATGTAAGTGAAGTAATGAGGGGCTCTTGACATCTTTTAACAGTTGTCCTGTGGGAAAAAGGATTATACAATTAGTTTTGAAGCCTTAATTAAACAATACGTCTGAAAGCTCTTTTTAAAGCATTTTGTAAAGAGAAGGCTTGTGCTTGCTGTGTTTCCAACAGCTTTGTTGCGATCTGTTTGAACATCAACATTTAAAGACCTTTTTTGTTGATCTGTCATAGAACAGACGCATTTAAAACAGAACAGGCAAATCAAACCTGCTTTGATTTAATTATGGAAATAAATAAAACATGAAAACTTAAAAGGAGGGCAGTACCTTTTGTAGGCACAAAGTACCCGTAAAATCGTTGTTGACTGTTACCACTTCTAATGTGCTGTTAGGTATAGTTGTAGAGTTTTCACTTTAAATAATCGTTTCACAATTTTAAGGGGTAATAATGGAAAGACCAAAACCAACAATTAAACTGGTCCTGCTAAAACGTATTATTCGTGTATCTAAAACCGACAGTATGATCTCCTCCATTGACTTCCATGTTTTTTTCTACAACACTTCAATGTGCCACACTACTGAGGGGTCTTGTCCGTCGTTTCCTTGACCAAGTTGCACTTTAGTTCATTTTGTTGACACATCAAGAGTGCTGCTGTAAAAGTACTCACAAGTGAACCAAATCCAAGTCTGAAAATAGTCCCTAGCACCGTTCATGTAAGAGGATTAACATCTGCTGGCTGCTGAAAAAATAGTTTTAAAGAATTTGATTTGTATCCTTTTTCATTAGAAAATAACAAAAAAATTCAACCTCTGAAAGACTCCCACCAAAAGTTCTTCATAGTTTGAGATACATTTTTGAGACTATTTCTGATTAGATTTTGCAAATATTTTATAAGTCAATCATTTCTGTCTTTGCCATTTTAATTATATTTTATTTCAACCGATTTAGAAGTGTTGAAGGATCTTTGTTCAGTTTGTTCTGTGAAGAATACATTGATCTTTCTGTTTCCATTAATGACATTCTAATTGCCCCCCTTTTACAATATAGGACCTATTCAAATAAAACTGACCAAAAGAAAAGCTTCTTTATGTGTTGGCCATGATGTATAAAGGGATGGATAATCACTTTGTTCTACCGAATACGGTTACAGTCAATTCATCAAACAGTATCACTGCCTGCCCTTTTTCTCCCAGTGAATTCTCAGAGTGTTAAAAACAAAACATTATAGTTAATTGGCTTGATGATGAGTTTTAGTCTGTATCACAGTTTCTCATCCTCGTTCTCTTTTTCTATGTTTCAGAACGGACAGACTCCCCTGATGGTGGCGTCAGAGCAGGGCAATCTGGAGATAGTACAAGAGCTCATTAGGAGAGGAGCCAATGTTAACTTGGATGACGTTGTAAGCATGCACACACAAAGCCCGCTCTAACTGCCAAGTAGAAATACACCAACACACACACAACGACACGTGGCGCTATAGAAGCGCATTACAGGTGAAAAGCAGCGCGGTGGTTTTTAGCGCTTTACATTGAAGACGTCGCTGAAATACTGGCCATGATGCTCCGACTTGCTGAACTCACCACACTCTTGCCTAGTCCACAGCTATTATGAGCAATCATGAGCTATAATGACAACTTATTACACACCTTTACCTTTACTCCTTTCACAAAATGACAGGATCCAGTCGTCGGGCCAACACCCTGGTGCCTCTAGAATCCAACCCCCCCCCCCCCCCCCCCCGCACACACACACACACACATACACTCACGCATCAATTTACCCTCCCACTTGGACACACGTACACCCACTCACTACACCTCTCATTAACATCTCTCGTACATGCAACCTATTATTACACAATGCCACACTCAAACTTTTGCCCAGAAGCAAGGAGAAGCATTACAAACTGCGGTCAGCCTCTTCGTTCACATTCTACTCTCTGACACTCCTATCTGTCCATGCGACACCCCGTTCCCATGAGCACCTGGTATGACCAGCTGGTAGGTAAAGTGCTTGGAGCATACTTGGGGCGTCCCGCATAGAGCTCGGACAGACTTCAGTCCAACTGGATTCGGAGGGATATGGGAGTTCTCAAGGTAATAGGTTGTCTGTGTGTGCAGGACTGCTGGACGGCGTTGATCTCGGCGGCTAAGGAGGGCCACATAGAGGTGGTGAGAGAACTGCTGGAGAACAATGCTAACCTGGAGCACCGAGACATGGTGAGAACATAGAGAGTTTTCTGTACTTATGAACAACTTATCTGTAAAATTGTCACATATAGTCCAAACAGTAACTGTAAGATTATAATGATATCATCCAGACTCCAGAAAAGGTAGTTGGTTTTATCAGCGTAAAAATTGATTATGATCCTCCTCCTTATTTCCTCTTTATTCCCAATTTTCTAATATCAAAAAATGCCATAGAATTATCTTAAAAAGTGTGCAAAACAAAGGTGAAGCATTGAGCAAGACTTGGGTTAAGTAATGTAGCCTTGGTGCATAAATGTGGTTCAAAAATGTTGATCATGAGAAAAAGATGTGATAGCTTAGCAACAGCAAAATATAAGACACAGTGACACATCTTTAAATATGCTTGAAAATGACATGTACATTTCTCAGATGGCCCCACTCGATTGGTTGATCAGGATGATCTATGAGCCTTGAAACGGACATGAAATGAAATTACTTTCATGTGCAATGACTCCTCTCTATTAGTAATTCCATTTACCCAGCTCTGGTTCTCTCTGCGTGGTGCAGTGATAAGATTCAGCCTTGGCATCCGGACTTGTATGAGGCAGACAGTTGTCGTCTTCAGGCTTACTGTAGCAGCTTTTCTGTATATTCACGATGAACGGACAAGTAGCAACGTGCAGACGAGAAGTTGGGAGTTTTTTTTCACTAAAGCTGTTTGGTGTTTTCAGCATTTCAAGCAACAGAAATTATCCAAATGAACAATAACCATCAGTAAATAATATATAAAGGTTTTAAACCTCTATATTTGCATTCAAAGATCAGAGTTTTTAATTCTCTTTTCTCCTTTTTCATGTAATACGAGACATTCCGAGTTCATTTTAAATCCTTAAAGCCTCTGTGACTTTATGGAAAACACTCAGGACATCAGCTGACTCACTGCCGTGCGGGTGTGTCTGAGCTGCACAGGACAGATCACAGCCAGTCATCACAGTGGGATTATAATAAAACCACTCTGTGTGATACTGTTCACTCACTGGATAGTGTGTCTCCCCAGTTGGAAATAGCACATTCTCCAACTCTTAAGTCTCCTTAGATTTTATTTATTCCGTAAAGCTTAAAATCTTGATAGAACAGCTTGTTTTATATAAGAACTATACTGAATATCACACACAGACGGTATATTGCCTACATGTTAACCTTCTTCTGTTGCCATTACAAAACATATGTTGTAGGATATTCTCTCCCTTTCACTTCACCATGTTCTGTGTGTGTTTCCTACTCAGGGAGGATGGACAGCTCTAATGTGGGCAGCCTACAAAGGTCGTACTGATGTGGCCGAGCTGCTCTTGGAAAAAGGATCGAACCCCAACATAACTGGTCAGGTAAGGACACTGGACACACTTAATTTCTTTTAAGGGTGCGCTCACGCTAGGTAATCCGTATAGTGCCAAAGCACCCTTCACCCTCCAAGTCCAGTTTGTTTGACAAGTTTGAGTGATCCATTCCATGCTCAAGCACAGAACACTTCCTTGGCCCTGGAAGAGGTGTGCCCTGGCACGGTACAGCTGCTCATGCAGGAGCACAAGCATGGTCACGAAACATGGGCAGCCTTCCATTATCGCGAGTGTTATCTGACTAAAAGCACACAAAGTCAGTTAGGGCTGCCTGTATTGTAAACTAAGCACGGGTCAAGATCATGTAAAGCCATGCATGTGTTGCATTACGACTTTATGTACTAGAGGTCACTGTGCTCAGGCCCGGTTAGTTTTGGAGCAGTGTGAGTGCAGGCCAGCGGTGGAATGGGGAGGGGGGACAATCGTGCCTCAGCACAGTATGGGGAAACTGGGCCTGAGTGCGCCCTAAAGGCCCTGACACACCAAGGAGATCGTCGGCCGTCAGTCCTAGTTGGACCGTCGGTTAGCGATCGTCGAAGCAGTGGCATCACTTGTTTTGAATGTCAGTAAACATATCGTTAGAGGACACTGTAAACACAGCCACAACCCTCTCTTTTGCTCTCATTTGCTGTTCAGTAATGTGGTGAGGCTCAAAGCATTTGTGTGACCGCAGACCCATCACTTGATCATTACTTAGTGTCAGCGTAAACTTCACCCCTCTCCTCTGCCCCAACAGTACAGCGTCTATCCCATTATCTGGGCAGCAGGTCGAGGCCACGCAGAGATTGTCCATCTCCTGCTGCAGCACGGAGCCAAGGTCAACTGTTCCGACAAGGTAACTACATGCTGACAGATGTTCATCACTTACTGGCGTTTAATCAAACAGAAGATGTTGTAAGGGCTTAAGCTTTATGAGTCCTGTATACTGTATCATATTCTCTCACGTGTACACAGTATGGTACCACTCCTTTGATCTGGGCCGCCAGGAAGGGCCATTATGACAGTGTGATGCACCTTCTGGCTAATGGAGCTGATGTGGACCAAGAAGGAGCAGTAAGTAGATTTCCAGCGAATGATTATTTACTCTGTTGGGAGAGATCTAACACTGTTATGCTAATTTTTGGACTTTATTTCCCCCATGATACACAATTTTTCCTTGGTAATTAGTTTTGTTTATTAAGTTATTTGTAGAAATAGCCAAAATGCAACGCAGTGTTCATATTTGATTTTATAGTCTGGTCGTCAGAGAGTCTTAATGTCTTCTTCTTCGGGTTCATCGTTGGTGCCATGATGGACACAGCAGCCTGTTTTTTGCTGGTGTCATTTTCACTAAATGAAGATTTAACGCTACCATGCCGTAAACCCATTAGTAAACTGCGGTGTTAAATAATTGATTGCATCAATGACGCTGCGCATCTGTGCTCCTTCTGACACAAACTGAACAATGTGGTCGTTTGAAATGTGACATCAATAATCAGATGGAAATAGAATGGCAAATATTAAAGAGAGGTTAAATAATATATTATTACTGTCTCCTAAAGCTGCTGAAAGGAATTGTTGCCATTTGGGAAATACTTAGACCTTAAAACAAAGACATGTTGGGAGAAAAACAAGTTTTTCTCAATTTCTTACTGTTTCCTTCCAGAACTCAATGACGGCTCTGATTGTGGGAGTGAAAGGTGGCTTTACAGAGGTTGTTAAGGAGCTGCTGAAGAGGAACCCAAATGTCAACATGACGGACAAAGACGGCAACACAGCTCTCGCCATCGCTGCCAAGGAGGGACACACAGAGATCGTGCAGGACCTGCTGGATGCCGGCACCTATGTCAATATCCCAGACAGGGTGAGAACACCCTACACTGGCGTTATCAGCTTCCCTGTTGGAATATGTAGAGGAGTGGTTACTATGAAAAACACTGTGAATGACATACAATTCATGACTTTGTCTGTTTGTGTTTCCTTTCTGTCTCTCTTTCAGAGCGGGGAGACGATGCTGATTGGAGCAGTGAGAGGGGGTCATGTTGAGATAGTGCGAGCTTTGCTGAACAAATACGCTGATATTGACGTCAGAGGGCAGGTAAGACCTCCTCTCCTGCTAGCTTTGCTCCTTGTTTGATTTTAAAGGCAGGCAGGAGGCCTTGTGTGAAACATCTCTATGTGAAATATCACACTGCTACTCAACATTGTTACATTAGTGGAGTTGTTTCTTGTGAAAGTAAACTTTAATCCATGGGTTAGGAAGATACAAATATACACAAGTATTATTTCTGTATAAACAGACACACCTAGATGTCCTTTGCATAATACTAAACAATATCAATTTTCTATCCACACAATCTGAAAGGCTTTTTTTTGTGTCTGCCAAGGTTATTTTTCTCCAAGATAAAGTTGCTTGTTCTTTCCACATCAGGATGGAAAGACTGCCCTCTACTGGGCTGTGGAGAAAGGCAACGCCACCATGGTGAGAGATATCCTGCAGTGTAACCCTGACACCGAGAGCTGCACTAAGGTAATGCACACTCAAGATTAGCAAAGGTGTAAAATGCACTCCCTTTAATGATCTGACTGTTTAACTCTATCTGTGATTTATTTCTCCTGATTTCTCATTTGTTGAGTTTAACATTTTAAAATTTTCACATATTTCCATTCAAGTATATTAAAAAGTGTCATCAAAAACGCTGTGTTTCTGTTGAGATACATTAGGAAAAAATGCAGGCAGATATTCAAAAATAATATTAATGATATTTGTGTGTTAAGGATGGAGAGACCCCGCTTATCAAAGCCACCAAAATGAGGAACATAGATATCGTGGAACTGCTGCTGGATAAAGGAGCCAAAGTGTCTGCACTTGATAAGGTATTTTTTAAAACACACTTGCACCTGTTTTATTTTATTGTTCAAACATATATACCCACATTCTTTTTGTCATTACATATAATTGTCTAATTCTGAGTTTTGCTTCTTCTAGAAAGGAGACACGCCCCTCCACATTGCCATCCGAGGTCGTAGTAGAAAGCTGGCTGAGCTGCTACTGAGGAACCCTAAAGATGGCCGCCTTCTTTACCGCCCCAACAAAGCTGGGGAGACACCATACAACATCGACTGTACCCACCAGAAAAGCATCCTCACGCAGATATTTGGAGCCAGTATGACACATTTCTCCCCTTTACTCTGTTACAAAAAAAATCATAGATTTATTTATCATAAATCAGGAAAAAAAAATGTCCCTTTGTTTTCTCCTCTTTTCTTCTTTTTTTTAAAATGTTTTTCTCACTATAAATGTTCTCTCTTTTTTCTCTCAGAGCACCTCTCCCCCTCTGAGTCAGATGGAGACATGTTGGGTTACGACCTCTATAGCAGTGCTCTAGCTGACATCCTGAGTGAGCCCACCATGCAGCCACCCATCTGCGTTGGACTGTATGCTCAGTGGGGCAGCGGCAAGTCTTTCCTCCTCAAGAAACTGGAGGGTAAGTCAGCACTCAGCATTAAAAAAAAATAGAGTAGAAAATTACAGAATTTTCCCTTCAGAAATGTCCTTTCCTCTTCTTCAGCATCACTAAATGTAATATTAAGTATTTTCTTCATATTGCTGCATATTCATTCACTTCATGTCTCTTTATGTTTTAACTCCCCCTTATCTCAGACGAGATGAAGACCTTTGCAGGCCAGCAGATAGAGCCCTTGTTCGAGTTCTCTTGGCTGGTTGTTTTCCTCACCCTCCTCCTCTGCGGCTCTGTGGCCGTGGTTCTGGGCTTTACTGTTGATCCCAGGTTGGCAATCGCTGTCTCCCTCAGTCTCCTTGCCCTGCTCTACATCTTTTTTGGTGAGGACAAACAAAAAAAGCTTCAAGTTCTTAATCCTTTAAATAATAATGCTTATACAGGTAACCCATTGTATACATGTTTATACGAAGCTTATTCCATCCACAAAGCAGCTAAATTTGTTTTCAGATTATCCATACAATTAAAATCATAGTTTATTTGAAGTGTGCCTTTGTATAACAAATGAATGAATGGTGTTTCTTTACTTACATTTCTTTTGATAGTTAAGGAAACAAACCCTTCTGGCTTCCACACTTTAGAGCTAATACAATTCCTTTCCTCCTCTGCTCACTGCAGTGTTGGTGTACTTTGGAAGTCGTCGGGAGAGGGAGAGCTGGAACTGGGCGTGGGTCATCAGCACCCGTCTGGCACGTCAGGTGGGTTACCTGGAGCTGCTGCTCAAACTGATGTTCGTCAACCCCCCTGAACTTCCAGAGCAGACCACCCGCGCCCTGCCTGTCAGGTGACAACCATTTTGGTGTTATTTAAACCTTTAGCTAACCATGAAGGTTGAGATTCAAATGTATTTTCAAAAGAGACATGGACAAGGCAGCACAAGAGGGAAAGAACAAATGTAGCTCTAGTGTAGCATGTCATTTTAACTTGGCCTTTTGTTTTTTTGAAAATGGAACAGTAATATAAGGAAAAGGCAAGATGGTAAGTGTTTTCATTAGCCGCAATGCATTTATTATGAGTTATAAAACTAAATAGGAGGCTAGTACCATCAATGACTATTTAATGTGTAATAACAGGGTTAACAACATTGTTCAAAGATCATGATTTTCCCAGTCTCATCTGCACTTTTCATTTTATGGAGTGCAATAAGGCATTGTCTTTGTTCACGTCACACAGGTTCTTGTTCACGGATTACAATCGTCTGTCCAGTGTTGGAGGGGAGACCTCCATGGCTGAGATGATTGCCACCCTCTCAGACGCCTGCGAGAGGGAGTTTGGCTTCATGGCCAGCAGGCTCTTCAGGGTTTTCAAAAAGGATGAGATCCAAGGTAGTGTCACGGTCTGGGTTCTTTCATGTAACGACTTTAGGCAGGCACGTAAGATTACATCTCCCATATTGAATGATGAAATGGTCTTAACAGTTGAATCTTGCTGTTATTTCAGTGTTCATAAAAATAAGCCTGATTTTAGTACTTTCAATGCATCCCTCTCTCATTAACCTACCTCTCATATCTCAGGTAAGAAGTGGAAGAAAACTTGTTGTGTTCCCTCCTTCGTGCTGTTTGCCTTGACACTTGGTTGCCTGATCACTGGTGTGGCCCTGTTGGCCATCTTCAAGGTGTGTTACAGTGATTGTACCAGGGAGTCTGCTTTAATACGAATCCAATTGTGTTTTAATCACCATGTCACCTGACACCCTCATAATGAATCTCATTGCTTTTCTTTGCCAGGTTGACCCTGAGAACTTGACAGTTAATGCTGTGCTGATAGCCATGGCCAGTGTGGTCGGGCTGGCCTTACTGCTGAACTGTAGAACCTGGTGGCAGGTGGCCGACTCTGTTCTTAACTCCCAGAGGAAACGTCTTCACGGTGCTGCCAATAACTTGCATAAACTCAAGAGTGAAGGATTTATGAAGGTAGATTAGCACACTTTTTTCCTTACATCTATTAAATGTTAACCCTCTGACCTCTGGGCGTCATAGACGAATGTGAAATGCTGTATTTCTTAATCCAATCAATTAAATTTCTGACATAATTTGACATGACATGATTGTTTTCTCTCCTGTTTTACACCAGGTGCTGAAGAATGAAGTGGAGCTAATGTCAAAAATGGCCAAAACCATCGATGGCTTCACTCAAAACCAGACGCGCATGACCGTCATCATTGACGGACTGGACGCCTGTGAGCAGGACAAAGTGCTGCAGATGCTTGACACGGTGTGTGTTCGCACATGTTTACCGCACATGGTCGCAGTGATGATAAATGCAGCTTGGCTGATAATATGCAGGAAATCATTTTTCCAACATTTGTCAATCAAAATATTTATGACCCAGAGACAGACTGCTGAAGATCAGCTGACATATAGCTTTTACTTTAAATGGGTCTTTCACCTGTCCACACACAGCCCACACATCTTTGTTACTGTGCAGCCACCCTGATGTTTCCAGCTGCCTCTGCTCCCCTCCAAGTTGAGTCTTCCTCCCAGCTGCTGTAATAGAATTTCCTTTAGCCAAATGTTATTATTTGATGAAGTAATCCCAGAGAAGATGGCAACCTCCTGTGTGCTAATGTGATTTTCTTATTTCTGGAAGCACCTCCCACTCACTCTAATACCGTCCTCTGTCTGAAGACATTCAGAAACAGCACCTTGAAATCCATTTTTGCGGGTTACACTAATGACCAAATTTTATCATTTTTTCCCATCAGTCTGGGTACTTTTCTCACTGAATTTGATGCAGACATCATGTGATGGGGCCTTTGTGCAGACAGCTGTTATGAGACTGAGGTTCATCATTCCGTGGGACGAGCCTGAGGGCTCTGGCCAGGGGTTAACAAACCATGTATGCATGTAGCACAAATTGATGTCCTGTGACACTTGGACAATGTCCCTTAGTTAGCAGAGTGGAAATCCCCAACAACATGTGCTGCACAGTCCGCTCTCACGGGGGCCATTAAGTTTAACTACTCCAGCTGACTGTTGCCTCAAGCTGTCATCCTGGTTATTGATTGGGCTATACCATTAATAACCCATTTGGACAGAGAAGTTGTTGAGGATCTGTTCAGCAAAAACAATCACATTTTACTTTGCTGAACCAAACCTTTTTCTATTAAAACAGTAGTAAAAGGGGGGAGCTGGTAGCCTAGTGGTTAGTGCGCACATCCCATGTACGGAGGCTCAAGTTCAAATCTGACCTGTGACTCCTTTCTTGCAAACCATTCCCCACTCTTGCTATCCCTGAGTTCTGAATCTATTCTCTGCCCTATCTCTAAATAAAGGCATAAAAAGCCCCATAAGGAGTTCTAAGAAAACAGAAGTCAAACACACAAAAGTTGTTGACAATGTTCTTTTATGCATTAAATTATGGTTCCTGTCATTTTCAGGTCAGGGTACTCTTCTCCAAAGGCCCTTTTATTTCCATCTTCGCAAGTGACCCCCATATTATCATCAAAGCTATCAACCAAAACCTCAACAGTGTGCTGAGAGACTCCAACATCAACGGACACGACTACATGAGGAACATTGTTCACCTGCCTGTATTCCTCAACAGCAGAGGCCTCAGTACAGCCAAGAAGCTCTGCATGGTAGCCCCCACCAACGGAGAGACACAGCCTGCTGAGGGTAGGGACGATGTATTTAAGGACTGCCCACATTTTTGGACCATTTGAGGCTTGAATTGTCGGCTTCTAAAGCTGTAGTTTGGATGTAAAAGATGTAAAAAAAAAAAAAGTTATTTTTTCATTCAAATGCATAATCAGCCATCTTGTTTTTTTGTCTTCTCTTTCTCCAGGATGGCATGAGGACATGGAAAGAAAAATGTCTCAGACCAACCTAGGACAAGACCCTGCCAAGTTTGGCAGCAAGAACGCCCTAAACCGCAGGGTAACAGCTATTTATTTACGTAGGCCAATGTTGCATAATCATTTTTGAGGTTAACGGCCACATCAGTGATTCTAAAGTCCACCCAAGGTCTTTATCTTTGGAAAACCATTGTGAAAAATGGCATTTAAACAAATACAATGTTTAGGGTTGCAATATGAGTTGCAGTTGTAAGAATGGATATATAAATAGACCGGGAATAATAGAAATACAAGACAAAGAGTTAGTCCAAATTAGATGTTCCAAAGCCAATACCAGTTATCAAATGCTGTATATTGTACTTGTCTTTTTAATGAGACACATTTCACACCACACAATAATAAATTGCAGATGGATTCCATACAGAAGTGTGGTGTTGGCAGGCAGTGCAGAGGCCAGAGGACAGCAGGAGACACACAGAGACAGAAAAGAGAGAGGTGCTCGGTGTGCGGCCAAGGTTCCTGGTGTAATTGATGTAATGACTGTTTATCCTTCCTGCTGCGTTGCCACAGCCTAATGACAAGGCCTAGCACCAGTGGGTCCCTGTGACAAAACACTGGCACCAGGTCTGCTGGCAGGAGGCTAAGTGACTCTGCTGCTGTCGCTGATACCTCACCCCCAGCCCCCCATGACACCTTTCTGCTACCCCCCCCCCCCCCCCCTTGTTTGTTTGTTTGACATTTGTTTGTACCTAGGGTTTATCTAGTACCCTCAGTTATTAGTGTTGGCTCTTTTCATTACGGGGTGGCAAAAGCTTTTATTTGCCCTCCGCCACTTGCTTGCTCTTGGCAGGAGGGCCCTCTCTCTACAAGTGAAGATTAAAATGAGGGCGGGGGGGGGTTGGGGGGATGAATTAGTGACTCTCCATTATTATGAGGCCTCTCAAGTTGTGAATGACGTAAGGAGTATCTCTGCCATCTTATTTACATTTATTGGATTGATATGAATGTCCTTTATTTACTTCCAGAAACTCTGCAATACATTTATCTTTAAAAAGCAGTAGTAATGAGAAGAATCATTAGAAGAAGGCAAATCAAATCTAAATGAACAAATATAGCTGTATAACTACAGTACAAAATGGATACTTTTTGAAAAGCCTGTGACACAGGGCCTGTCTGTCCTATGGACCCTTTCAGTTCTGACTGAGTGGTGGCCATATGTTTCATCCGTCTGAGAAAGAGGTCATGAGACCCGCGTTATGACTTCAAAGTCAACCAAAAGCCTCGCCTTGGCTCATGACCATGGCAGCTGTCTGATATCATCGCAGATGTTCCCCGGTAGATCTGTGTCAATAGCTCGCCTGTGTGTCATGCCTGTTCAGCCTTGGACAGCAGCTCTTTGATTTTTATTTGCAGACACAGGAAGGTGTTTTTTTTTCTCTCTCATGAAAAGATAGTCAGAATGAAGGTAAAAGTGTATCATTGCAGTAACAACATAAAGATACAATGTCCTCATTTTTTATGCACATCCTGTTCATAGGGCCAACTGCACCCATAAGCTGGGGTATCCTAACAGTTATTTAACTGAGTGTGCGTTACTTTACAAGTGTAAGCTTGGAAATAACTTTTTAAATTCAGAAATAAATTGCCCTCGCACTTAATGTTTGGGGCAATGATTAAATGAATAGGTTTGATCTTGGAGTTGGAAACACAGAGAGTCTACACATGTGAAAATGTCTTATCTTATGCTCTGTAAAGGACACATACCGGCGTCGGCATATGCAGAGGACCATCACCAGGCAGATGTCCTTTGACCTGACCAAGCTGCTGGTGACAGAGGACTGGTTCAGCGACATCAGCCCACAGACCATGAGGAGGCTGCTCAACATTGTTTCTATCACAGGTAAAGAACCAGTCATGCTCTTCTTACGAACAACCTTGAGCTTGCACTATCCACAAATGAAATCCTTACCATACAACACCGAAGCCAAGGAGCCTAATTTGACAAATTCCAAGGGGATTAAATAGTTTAACTTTATTTCATTTATGAGATTTATGAATGATAATGAGAACACACAAATACTGAGGGTTTAAAAATCGTGATCCAGTTTGAACAGATGCATTGAAGCCTTATGCATTTGAAATAGCAACATGGCAGCAAGTTTAGCTTTTAAAAAGATCTGCATGATGCATCAGTGTTTTAATAATATAGATAAGAACTTAACAGGAATTTGAAAAACAGTCAACACGAGGCGACAAAGTGTTAAATGTAGACCTGCTTGAATAAAAGACAACAATCCTTCATAGCAAAATCATATTCAATATCTCATGTATCAGATTCCTGCAGGCTGTGGCAGAACACCATGCAACAACAAAAGAGGTTTATCAAATAACATCACTCAAACTTATTGAGGATTCAATCTGATGCTTTACAGATAAAAGTCCATTTCATTCTCTTGTGACCGTAACTTAAACAAAATGCCAAGAAGTAGAACCCTGAGATGTTGATGTTTGGTGAGCGATTGGGAGAAGAAGTAGATCAGTGATTCTAAGTCCACTCATCCTCTGCACAGGTCGCCTATTGCGGGCCAATCAGATCATCTTCAACTGGGACCGACTGGTATCATGGATCAACCTGACAGAAGAGTGGCCGTACAGGACGTCGTGGATCATCCTGTTTTTGGAAGAGACTGAAGGAGTGTCGGACCAGGTGGCGCTGAAGAACATCTATGAGAGGTACAGACACACATACACATAAAAGGAAACAATCACATCACCACTCATCTGATCTAAAGTCTGTAAAGGCTTATTTAAAGAATACCCATTGTTTCTTTGCTCTGGGAAATAGCCCTCCTAAAAGATAGATAAATATATTGTATTTCTTCATTATCTATGTAATTGAAATCCTGATTTAAGAACTTGTACCAGCAGGTGGCAGTATAGGATTTTGTTTTCTGTGGGCAACAATAGTACACTGCCACTGCAAATGGCTGTGAGTGCCACACTAATTGGTCACTGACAGACAGATTTTTTGATTCAGCTTAATGCACAAGGAAATTTCTGTCTTCTCCAGACTAATGAAACAACATATTTCCTTGACTCTGGATAAAAGTCCATTTATGTTCAGATGTCTTTTCGCGAGTAGTAGGGAGATAAACTCTTCTATCTGTCTGTGTTTATTCATATGACTGATCTTGCCTCTGCATTTGTGTGGTCACTGGTGCTTCAAGGCGTGCACATCGCAAAGATGAGGGGGAGGCCTGCACAGGGCTGAGTCGCTGGGTTTCGGCGCTGTTGTGCATCAGTGTGCTGGCCTTTAAAGGTTGCACTCTGTCACACTACACTAGTGCCTACGACTCCTGCGGCAGCAAATTGTCACAGACAGTTACTGTCAGCCAGTCAGCCAGCGAGATTCAGCAGACAACCCTCCCTCCCCCGTCTCCGAGGCAAACCACTGCCTCATTAAAAATGTTTTTTCTATTGGTTTTCAAAGGACAATAGGCATTACCATACATTTATACAACACAGCTACAGTTAAATGAGATGTGTACAGCACGAGGGGAGCAAGGTGGCCAGAAGGCTGTAACTCTTGGCATATCAGTTTTAAGTAACATGGCCATCCGAAATGAATTGTCTATAGTTTTACCATTAATATTGTCGAAAAATAAAACAGGAGGATTTAATAAAGCTGCAGGACAGCCATGATATTGTGCACGGTTTTTGCATCCATAAAAGGCCTACCTCCAAGAGCCTTAAACAGAGCAGGCGACTGTGCTTACACTCTTCCATTAGACTTAATATAGCCATCATCTTGTCTTTGACCAGCGCCCTGTCCTGTTTTATCTTCCTCCTCACTGCTCGTCCTTCCAAATGGCTGCTCTGTTCCGCAGTGGCCGTCGGAGAAGCGGCCTTAATGATGATGACAGGAAGCCTCACACAGGCTAAACACGACGCCTCGCCTTGAGGCCTTATCTTCCGCACTAATCTTCTGCTGATAAGACTCGGGCCTCTGTCTGTGCATCTTTTTCTGTCTCGCTGCTCTTTCCTTCCTCTTTCTTCTGATGGGAGGCTCTTCAGTCTCCTTTTTTGTTCTGGATGAGCTGTTGTACCTTTTTCTCTCAGCGATGGATGAGCACTCGACTAACCTCTCAGAACCTCAGGCCCCTTATTAAGACTGTCTCTCTGCCAACGCATAGCTTACCTGTGTTTGCTTTTCTTCTCCACAGTGTAAATGAATACTCACATGCATTACACGTAATCACACTTCAGTGAATCACGTTATGGTTTGACCAGTTCACTACTTCCTGTAAGTATTAGTCAACATCTTTTTGTTTGAATTGTTTTGCCACCAGAACAACATGGCTCTGACCTCTTTTCTTCACTTTGTTAGTGTTTTAGCATACATACATGTGTACAGGATGTTGTGCTCATCCATTTTTTTTTGCACAGTGAAACTGCACATCCCCTGAGCGTTACTAAATGAATATATTAGTGGTGAAGTGAACGTGGGGGTGAGTCAGCCCCTTATAGGTCAACTGTCGCCCTGCATCTCAGTCACAAGGCAGCCTGCGCTTCCTCTCCTCTCCTCTTTACAAGGCTCGTAGACCACAGTATACATAGTATCACAAAAAATGTATTTTTTAAATTATAGCATAGACATATCAGAAGACTTCCTTTGGTCTAAAAATGTATCCAGTTTCAATCTCCCTCTGTTTAAAGATACAAAATAAAATCATGGTTTCATCCTTGCCTGAAGTCCTTTAAAGATCTGGCTCAGTATCATCATTGTAACTTCCTGCCCTCTCAAGCCTTTAAATTGAAAGCAAATGATCCCACACACTACTAAACCCCGGTGACATGTTGCATGAGTAACACAGAGTGCCTCTCAGTGGTGAAGGTGACAGCGACTCTCTATGGCATGTACCTGAACTCCTAGAAAAAGAGAGAAAAAATAGAACCACACACCCACCTTCCCTCATATCTCACACAAACACACGCGCTTTCAAAACGGCTGAAAGCTGTTTTTAGCAACTTGCCTGGCAATAACTAGCGTCCATGAGGGGCTGTGAAGTGTCATTTTAGGACACAGCGTGAAGAGAAATAAGTAGAGCTAATTCCTGTAGCCGGAGAGGGCCAGTACAACCTTCCTAATCTGATGGAGAATGTGTAATCGGTTAATAACCTTAGCTATGTTTCAATGATTAACCGCAAGACCAGGGGGGCTGCCCAGACTGATGCAGGGTAGCAGGGGGAAAGAACTGTGTAACAAAGATTGCACTGTCTGAAGGAGATATTGACTAAAAAATAACAAGCTTACACACAAAAAGCATAGCTATAAATGACTCTCCCACTAGTTCTTGAGGGAAAACTAAACATTACAACTTGAGCCTTGAGGTTCCCTGACAGATGCAGAACAGCGAACAAAACAAGAAGTGTTTTTGGACCAACCCATATATTTGTAGCTGTCAACTTAACAACCCTAAATCCGTGTTTTCATGTTGTTAGATCACTAGCATATTGAATTTGGAGCCTGCAGCCTTGTGACTATCATTTTCAGGTTTATCATGTCTTCCTCTTCAGTATCAGGAGTCAGTTGCTCCTTGTTTTAGCTGCTATTAGTCTTAATGGCTCCCGCTAACCTAGCTCACTCCTGCTTCATGGTTATTGCTTCAAAGCAGCCCTGCCATTTCCAAAGGCTGTTAATAGGCTTTAGATTTTTTCATTTTCTTGATGTTGTTGAGAGTCATTACATTACGTTTAGCTGTTTAGTCGATGTCTTTTAGCAGAGTCATTTAAGTTACAGAGAAAGTGCCGCTTCTGGAGGTTGTTCAAGGGCTCTCGTTTTTGGACACACAGCTGTTGTTGTGACTTCTTCTGTGTTTTTGGTAATCTACTTTCCTATTTATTTTTATTGTCTATTTTGACCCCTGTACGCTTTATTTCAAATGGTTGGTATTTTTCCTCCCAGTGACCTTAGTTTGTGTGTTTGTCTGTCCCTGTGAGTGTTAGTGCATTAATGATGTTTTCTAAATTCAGGAACGGCGTTTCTTTTAAATTGCTGTTGTCCCCTTTAAACATGATGACCTTAATTCATTTATAAGTTTTAATATGTAGTGAATTGGTAGGACATCAGGTTATCCACTTTGAAACGTCAGACGATCTATTAAGTAATCAACACTTTTTTTTTAAAGACTGTTTTTAAGTTTTTAATGTGACATTTTGCTGATTTTCATTGTTCTCTCTAAATTAAACCGTTTTTTTTTTTTCTGATATTGACCAGACAAAAAATATTTTACAGAACTTTTAATAATTTTTAATTCATTTTTCATTAATGTTTTCAGTATTTGTATATGATAGTTAACTTACTGGTTGTAAGTTGCAGCCTTTCGGGAAAAAAAAAGGGAAAGGCATATTGTAAGAGGTGAAGCTCTTCAATCAATCATACAAACTATAATGCAGCATCAGGAGGCATGGTTGAGCAGCGTCTGTATCTCTCACACAACTTCAAGGACTTTTTAAAGGACTGTTTGTGCATTCTGTGGGCAATAGGGTCTGTATTTATTAGTATTCATTTTTGACAGACTGATTTGTTCAGAAATTGAAATAGTTCTGTGTTTCGGTTGATGGGGTTAACATATTTGGTCCTAATGATGAACGGGGGCGGGCCCCTCAGAGAGTTTATTCCTGGACGCCTAGATCCCTTTTTCAGCTCTAGAAAAAAAATAAAGTGTCACTGGTCCACTGAGCAGGTTCCTGCCCTGCTCTGACATCTGGTGCCCTGTCTGTGCCAGGATGCCCCCGCTGCATTCAGGAGTGTGTTTCTGGCACTGCACCTGAATCCTCTGTTCATTACAAACACCCACACATACATACACAACAAACTATTGCATGCTATACACTTATAGAACCTTTTACACACATGATCAAACTGTAGTTTAATTAATGCACGATGTAACTGAAACAACAACACATACACTGTCTTTTAACATAACAAGCTTTTGTGGTTGTACATGCAGGCAGGCATCCTAAATCTCATATTCAAAAGGCATGCGAAGTACACACACACACACACGCACGCTAAGCTCTTACACCAGTGCAAGAACATATGTCACCCACAACTCCTCTGAGAATCAGTGTAATTAATCAGGCCCTGAGATTCAGGCTGCGTTCAACAAACACGCATATTCATACACACACACACACACACACACACACAGACACACACACACACACACACACACACACACACACACACACACACACACACATACACATACACACACACACACACACACAGACACACACACACACACACACACACACACACACACACACACACACACACACACACACACACATACACACACACACACACACACACACACACACACACACACACACACACACACACACACACAGACACACATACACACACACACACACACACACACACACACACACACAGACACAGACACACATACACATACACCAACACACACACATTTGTGTAGATTCACACAGCAGAGAAATTCTTGTCAGTCTAAATTGCAGTATATTTTAAGTCCAGATTATTATTTTATTATTTCTTATCTTTGTAAATTTAGGTTTGTAAATAATCCCACAAATTTTGATGCGCTGTACTTTTTTGTCACAGCGTGTTAAGCACAACTTTTCTTCTCATCCCGTCATCTTCTGTTTCATCAGCCTTGCCCTGCATTCATCCAACAGACAATCCC